GAGTGCGGTGGCACGATCTCAGCTCATTGGAACCTCCGCCTCCCCAGTTCAAGCAATTCTCCTGCCTCAGCCTCCCAAATATCTAGGATTACAGGCACACACCACCATGCCTGGCTAATTTTTTTGTATTTTTAGTAGAGACAGGATTTCACCATGTTGGCCAGGCTAGTCTTGAACTCCTAACCTCAAGTCATCTGCCCTCCTTGGCCTTTTGGGGTGCTGGGATTACAGGTGTGAGCTACCTCACCCAGCCAAGAGATTGTTTAATCAGCGAAAGGCTGGGCAGGGCCGTGGGGCCTAGGGCGGCACTTGCTATCAGATGTCTGGAGGGCAGGGTTGGCTTTGGCCATATATGGACCTAGGTTCAAATCCTGGCCGGCCATACCACTTACCAGCTCTAGACCTAGAGCAGGTTAACAACATGAATCTAAACTACTTACCACTCATCAAAGTGAGTGACTATCTATAACTGTTGCCGTTGTTACAAGAAACCCACTTAGTAACTGCACTGAAAGCCCCTCATCCTCAAAAGGCAAGAAATGGGGAACAATCCGGTGACCAAGGAAAACTGCAGGTGAAAGCGGCTGTCATTTCTCTCGCTGTGGCTTGCGGTGCTCAACACTCTTGCTTGGCTGGTTGTCTTGGAGGGTGAATGAGGTCTCTGCTGAGTGTCCCCAGCTTAGCGATGGGCAGTGGGGCTCTGTTCACAGTCTCATCTCGATCACATGGCCTCCCGGGTTCAGACACCCTAGGCTGATGCTGCGGTTCCATGTGCCTGGCACACGAGCCTCCGAACTTATTTCCGGCCTGCCTGTCCCCACATGCAACGGCTCCTGAAAAAGGGGAACCAAATACTGCCCGTTTCACCCCCGTCAGTAGCTGACAGAGCCTGGGTTCCTGCTCTCCTGACATTCCCACTCATTGTCGTCAGTGGAACGAGCAGGCAGAGGGGAAGTGAGCCGCCTATCAGCCCCTGCAATCAGAAAAAGAGCCGGGTGCCTTTAAGACGAAGGTGGTGGGCAGCCATCCATCTTCCCTAAACACAGACTCGCCTTGTTCTTCCATTTCTGGCTGAGTGATAAAAACGTTAAATGTCATTTCCTGTATCAGTGGTTAACCACTAGATGCTGGATCAGAGATTTACCAGAAGTGCTGAAGTTAAGGAAAAAAAAAATAAATAAACCTGCTGTTTTCAATAACCCTTTCTTGCACCCTGTGAGAACTATGTCACCTCTGGGGAGGGGGCTGCGAGGGGGTCGCTGGATGTGACCTGCGCAACACGTTTAGGACTAGATTTGCCAAATGCTTTCTTATGCTTCATATAGGAAGTGAAGAGAGACAAAATTTAACCATCCTATACTTCTCCCCAAGTGTGTGTGTGTGTGTGTGTGTGTGTGAGAGAGAGAGAGAGAGAGAGAGAGTAGAAGCACCGGGAAAAGCAGGAGGAAGAATCATCCACGTGCCTCCTTTGCCCACCTCTCTCAGGATATCCGGCAGTCATTTTGGTTTTATTGACCCAAGGTTTTTGCAGAGGACAGTTGCCCTATTTGATTCCCTCAGCTTCCTGCAACAATGAATGTCCTCCAGTGACAAGAAGGCTTCCTGGGGGAAAACATGATCCCAGGAAACTCCTGAGGGGTGGAGAGCCCAGCTCAATCCTTTGTTGTGTCTTCTTCTTCTTTGAGTTGCTCCATTAAATTAAGAGCTCAGAAAAGGGAATACCTGGCTCAGCCCCAAGGAGAGGTGACTGGACCGACTGCAGCCCGCCCACAGCTGTGCTCCCAGCCCAGCCACTCTGCCGTGCACTCCTGCCCTGAGGTCACCTCCCCACACAAACCTGCCCTGGGCTCCTCCCTGTGGCCTCCCAGGCCCCCGCACAGTCTGGACATATAAGACGTAGGAGCTCTACTTTGTTCTAGCAATTCTATTTCCTTCCCAGTGCCGCCTAGGATGTTCTGGGCACACCAAGTGCTCCTAGCTCCTCACCCACCTCTGGGGTCACCAACAGTCCTGCTTTTACCTGGGACCGAAGGGATTCATGAGGCGGCGGGGGCGGGGGAGGGAGGACTTTCGTTTCTAAAACTGGGAAAGTCCCAGGCAAACCGAAATGAGTTGGTCACCCCCCAAACAGATACAATGGTTTGCATAGGCATTTGCACATTCTATGTCAGAACGGCAGCCAAGAAATAAAAAATAATAAATGTGATTTTAAAACAAACAAGAAAATAATTTTTAAAAAATTTAACAAACATAAGATAATTTTTTAAATAAAATTTAAAAAAAAAAGAAACTGGCCAAACTTGAGAACAGATCTAGCCGGGGTACTGAGAACTGCAGGCGACATTGCACGGTGTAAGAGCACCCTGGGGAAATAGGACGGAGCGTACCACAGCTCTCCCACTGCACCTGGCGCACACCTAGATGAGTAGATGTCATCCTCTCTCAATTCAGTAGTTAGTAGAGGAGATCTGAAATCAAAGTCAGAATCAGAAGAGAAAAGAGCATGGGAAAACATACATTCCACTAAGTCTCTTGTAGGCCTCTGAAACTGAAACTTCTTTTTCCTTCCTCGTACCCTTGAGTACCAACACCATCAGCCCCCCGGTGCCCAGGACACAAAGATTCGAGAGACACATTGCTCTTTACTCTGCCTCGCTCCCGCTTCATTTTATTATTATAACAAGTCCTGATTTCCTGCCACCTAAGATCTCTCCTCTCCACTTCCACTTCTATGACCATCCCTCCACCGTCTCTGCCCTCAAAGACTGGCCTCCATCCTCTCCAACCTCAATTTCATCTGCTCCCTGGCATTTTAGATGCTCCCCACTTTTTCAAATTATATATTGAATACCTACATCAGAAGGATGCCAGAGAGGTTGTATCCGGATTTCACATGGCATGGACATCTCTCATGGATGCCTTTTTAAATCAGACCATCTCTAATGTCTTCCTGACTGAGAAAACCTCCTGGACACTGCCAGCAAAGCTGGGCATGGCCTCCCTCGCTTCCTGGTACACATCGCCAGTTAGCCCTCATGACATGGCTAGGACGACTACTCTCTGTTTCCACCTTGTCCACCAGCTGTGAATCCCAGTGTCTTATTTACCTTGTTTCCCCAGGTCAGTCCCAGAGCTTGACAGATAGTGGGATTAAATACGTGTAGAAAAGAAGATGGTCTGGAGATGAAAGGGGGAAATATTGGCTGGAGGCTATTGTACTTCAGTCGGTCAGTAGCCATTTGAACATACACCTTTCAAAGGCTATTGAGTATGGTTGGATCAACCTGGAAGATGATCCCTATCAGAGAAGCAAAGGCCTCAGCCCTGGGCCCTGTCCTAACTGATGTTTTTACAAACTTCCTGGATGAAGGTTAAAAAGGTACCCAAAACAGATTTACAGATAAAACCAAAGCTGGAAAGTATCACTAATATGTAGAATGCTAGAATTCATGTTCCAAAATTATCTTGGCTTATGAGATGGATAGACCAAAACTAAGAAGGTAAAAATACACACCCAATTAGGGTAAATGCTACACTCATAGTAGCACCATCACTAGCACAATGGGGAAGATCTGGTTCAGCAGCAATTCGGATGAAAAACTCCTAGCAATTCCTTGTCTTTGAGCTAGAAGAGAACGTAGAGGACCATCCAATACAGAGAGTCTCAAGCTCTTTTCAAACAATAACATTCATCAATTAGAATTTCATGCAGAGGCCCAGTAGGTAAAAGAATTTTTTATTTTTTTCCAAAACGGGGTCTTGTTCTGTCGCCCAGGCTGGAATGCAGTGGCACGATCACAGCTCACTGCAACTTCCGCCTCCCAGGTTCAAGCAATTCTCCTGTCTCAGTCTCCAGAGTAGCTGGGATTACAGGCACATGCCCCTATGCCTGGCCAATTTTTGTATTTTTAGTAGAGATGGGGTTTCGCCATGTTGGCCAGGCTGATCTCCAACTGGCTGGTCTCAAGCTCCTGACCATGTGATCCGCCCGCTTTGGCCTCCCACAGTGCTGGGATTACAGGCGTGAGCCACCGCAGCCAGCCGGGAAAAGAAATTTTTTAAAGGTGCCGCTCTGGTTAGGAGTAAGGGAAAGGGGTCTAACAAGTCAGCCCCCAACCAATTCGCCCCTCCCTGCTATCTTATGAAGACCCCTGAGGCATCCTCCCAAACTCCTGGGGCTTTTCTGAGTGAACACTGTTTGAAAACACAGACCTGAGTCAATCCCCTTGCTCTACGCGGCTGCCCAACTGGTGACTGTCAGAATTCCTCCGAACCCTCCAATCCCTCAGCCGGCTTTACTTTGTGTTGCATTTTAAAGCCAAGATCACATTAGGCTGCATTAGGAGGTCAAATGGGCCCACCTACTCACTATGGTTCAAGCCTTGTCTGGAATAGTGTGTTAGATTCTAGCAGCTACATTAACGGAAACAAATGTGGCAGAAGTGGCGTATAAATATTATTATTGAGGGATTACTTTGTGCCAGACATACTGTACATTCATCTCATCTAGTCATGACAATTATGCTATAAAGTAATTATTATCCTCCTTTTAAATCTGGGGAAACAGAGGCTCAGCACATTTCAGTAATTTCTCCAAAGGCACACAGCTAAAGGCCTAGTATTCAAACCCCTGGAAAAGCTTGTGTTGTGTCCATCACACCTAGGTGTCTCTTGGAGGTGCCCCCCAAAAGGGCAAGAAGAGTATGGAGGGTCTAGAAATCATGACCAGTGAGGCCAGATACGGTGGCTCACGCCTGTATTCCCAGCACTCTGGAAGGCCAAGGTGGGAGGATCCCTTTGAGCTCAGGAGTTTGAGACCAGCCTAAGCAACATAGGAAAGCTCTGTCTCCGCAAAAAAAATGTTTAATCAGCGGGTGTGGTGACATGTGCCTGTAGTTCCAGTTATTCAGGAGGCTGAGGTGGGAGGATCGCTTGAGCTCAAGAGTTGGAGGCTGCAGTGAGCCATGATCATGCCACTGTACTCCAGCCCGGGTGACAGCGCAAGATCATGTCTCAAAACAAAAAGAAAAGAGAGAGAGAAAGAAATCATGACAAATGAGATGTTCAGCCTGGAGAGAATCAGACAGACATGACATGCTGGGTGGGGAGTGAGAAGACCACGACAGCAGTCACCGAAGAAAGAAGAGCACTTTTCGATGAGGGAAAGTGCTGAGACTCGAGGCCACTTGTCAGGTGAGGTTTAGAGGAGATTCCCAGATGGGTAGAAAAGTGGCCCAAGAAACTCTGAGCTGTGTTTTGGCCTTGCTGTGCATTTGTGGATGGAGACAATTCCCTGTGCCCACCACACCCCCACACCATCCTCTGTCACCACATCTTCTGTGCCATGGGCTCTCCTGAGCTGTCTGCTTGTTTATTTTCCCGTGACGAGAGGGGCAAAGCAGCAGCGGTGGCGGCGTCATAATAACTGCCCGCAAGTTGTAGTTGGAAGAATTTTCAGAATGGCTTGGTCTCTATGGTTAAAGAAACAGCTGCGGGTGGAGGGTGGTAAACAGGCCCCAGCCACAGAACACAGCAAGTGGGCACAGGACATGGGAGTCAAAGAGCAAGGCCCGGGTCCAGGACGCACCGGGGCTGGGAGGAGCTGACCACAGGACCCCGCTCCCCGCAGGGCAGCGCTTCATCCAAGGCCCTTCCCCGGCTGCGTAACTGTCCAGATTCGTGTCTCCCGATCTGTTGTAACGCACAAAGGCAGAGAGTGAAACAGGAAACTCAGAAAAAAAAAAAAATGGTCTTTTCCCTCCTGAGAGTCTGCTCTGATAAAGACCCTTCCCAGAGGCTGGTCCTTGTCTCAAGCCCACTAGAAATTCTGCCATGAGTGTGAGCTTTTAGAGACACTGGGGAAACTAGAATAAATGTCAGTAGCCATCTCGCTCTTGGTTGATCAAAATAGAATCATAATAGTTCTCTCTTCCCTGTTCAGAATCACCTTCTTCCCATTTTTCTGTGCCCCTTGCCGAGAAACCAACCGGGACAAGGGGTCCGAAGCAGCACTGAGAAACCACTGGAGGATTCACAAGCATACTCGAGGTTGACAGGGCCCACGGAAAGACCCCTAAGTGCCCTGTCTAGAATGCGAGAGCCACAAGGGCCTGGCAGAGTCATCTAGTCTGACTGTAAACGTATTCAACTGTGGGCCACATGCGGTCTCTGTCACAAGCACTCAACAAAAGCAGCCATAGACAATACATAAAACAATGGCCATGGCTGTGTTCTAATCATATTTGATTTATGGTTATCAAAATGTGAATTTCATATAATTTTCATACATTATGAAAACGTTACTCTCCTTCTCAATCATTTAAAAAGGTAAAAGGCATTCTCAGTCCACTAGCCAGACGAAAACAGGCAGCGGGCTCGATTTAGCGTGTGGGCCATAGTTTGTCAAATCCTGATCTAGTCCAAGCCCTTCCCGAGACAGAGGAGAAATCTGACTCCCAGGAAAGGCGGCGACTGGTGGTTCAGTGTAGGATTCCCATCCGCACACAGTATTCGATTCTTGTGCTGTGCTCTTGCCCATGCAAAGTGATATTTCAGCTGCCCTCATTTCCCTTGGGCATGATGTGCCTGTACTGTGAGGGCAATGGCCTGGTCTAAGCCTTGCCAACTGTAACATCTGGAATGGAACTTCAGGACTTGACCGGCTCTGTCTCTGTCCCATTTCTGCACACACTCCCAGGATGACCTTGGGCAGCTCCATCACCCTCTCTTGATCCCATCAGAAACTGCAGACATGGGAACCACACCGGTCATCTCCGAGACTGGGTCTTTCAGTCATTGTCCCGCCTTTCCCTCTCCTGGGACATGTCAGTACCAGCAGGCCCCTGGCATCTTCTCCAGCAGCCATCTCTTGGAGCAACCAGTTCTGAGGCCACCAAAGGATAGTAACTTCTGGGCAGAAACACTAGGGATGGAAGCAAATGAGTTGTCTGTTTTCATGCAGATGAAGTTGTGGGAGGACGCGTGATTCATGTGTTGAGTGCTTTTTCAATAGCATGTTTCTATCATTTCTGGAAGGCAGCAAGTTAGTTTCCCCCCCGAGGTGGTGGGAGAGGATGTTGTTTGTGGTTTTCTCGTTTAGAGGGGAGTTACATTTGTTTTTGTTGTTGCTTTGTTGGTTTATAAATTTTCATTTTGTTGTGTTGTGATTTGTGTTCGCGAGCAGTTGGAGATGGCAGGTTGGGAGAGAAAGTTTTGGAGAGGTAGGAGGAAGCAGAGCCCATGTACAATGCCTGAGGCGCTGATCACACAAACAAGGTCAAGGTGGTTCAAAGTCATAGTCAGATGCCTGGGGGCCTGCCAAACCCCACATGCCTTGGTTAGGAATTAGAGATAGTTTGACATCTGGGTCTTGTGTGACTGCCATCCAAAGATAAGGAAGGGAAAGAGGAGGGTCCTGGCATGGAGTTCCAAGGAGGCTCAGAGCCCCGGGCCTGCCTTGCCATCACATTAAAGAATGTGGCCACTCTGCCCTGGAGTGGTTCCCTAGTCACACAGGTGATGGGAGCCAGGAGCATGGGACAGAAGGAGCCTGGTCACTGTCCAGCCCAGAGTATCACTCAGTGTTGGCTCCCCTGCCCGTCTCTCCCAGGGTATCCAACACCCAAACAGATTGCTGCCTGGAATTAGGGTATTAGGCCACTGAACCTTCTTGGGGAGCTCTAAGGGGTCTCTGGGAACTTGAATAAAAGCTGCTCCAAAAACTTCTCAGAATCCTGCACCCCTCGCTTAGCAAGCAGTATGCTGGTAAAAGGTTAACAACGAAGTATCTGGGGAAAAAAGGTCCTGATTTGTAGCATTTGCTAACTCCCGTGGTGTAAACACTCTCCTACCTTGGCCAACTTCAAGTGGCCAGTGTGATATTAACTAGATCACAAAAATCCTGAAAATTAACATTGAGTTTTCTCAGAGCCCCTCTCCTATACCACAGCTCTGAGCCCTCTGGAACCCAAGGAGAATGCAGAAATCAGGAATCATTTGGTCCCAGGCTTTTCAGGTGCCAGAATGAATCACGAGCTCCAGGTGAAGTCACAAGCTTTATGAGTCTGCAGCACCTCACCGTGGAGGGACTCTGGTGGGGGCAGGAAAAGGCTAATTAGAAACCCTAAAAAGCCCCCAGAGAATGCAGGTAAGAAAGAAAAAGGGAGTGGGGGAAAATGCTAGGAACTCAAACATTCAAACCTGTGTGGTCCACAAACAAAACAAAAACTGTGAGGTATTTAGCCACCTCTCCTTCTTATTTCCTGAGTGTATTCCTGTCTCAGTCCATCATTTTCCAGGGAAAATCTTCCTAAGGATGTTAGGAAGCAGCTGTCCGTCCCATATCCCTGAGAAGAGGTGCCCTGCCTCTGCAACATACTAAAGACAAGGTGATGGTTGACATGGAGGAGTCTGTCCCCTACACACATAGGACTGCTCTGCTGGCCAGGCCCGGGTAGCACCTGGGATGAACTCCCCTCACCTTGCTCCCTGGTCCCCTTCCTACTCAGTCCCATCTAACACACTCCTGCTTGGCTAAAGGAGGAAAATCGCACCTCCTCCAACTCCTCTGATGTCCCTACAGTCCATCCAAATTCACAAGAGTAAGGCTTCTTGGATCAACACAGGCCCCTTCCCTTGGGCAGTTTCGGCTTAGCAGGCATTCTGGGAAGACGGCCAAGCGGTAACTCCCTTATGAAAGACTTCATTCTGTGCCTGCTCTCCTCACCCAACAGCTGACATACACGGACCCCCGTCGCTGCCAGTTGAGTGGCCCTGGCTGGTCAGAACCTACTCACCTGGCCTGAGAGGCTCACAGTGTCCTGCCTCCACTCCCTTCCGTGGAGCCCTGGATTCCATTCCCACCACTGCCGCTAATTGCCTCGAACACTCATTGAATCTCTTCGGACTACGGTTTCCTTATCTGGAACACACAAATGGTTGGACTTTAATAATATTCCATACAAGTTTTTTAGAAAAATAAGATTTGTTTGGAACTTTAAAGTGGTCAAGTATTTTCACTTAATCATTATAAAGAGTATGTGATATAAGTAGTAATATTAGATAATATTAGGAACGGAGGCTCAGAGAGGCTGGCAAACACATCCAAGATTACCTGGATAACAGGCAGACCCTCCCAAACTCGATCTCATTCCTCTGACAACCAACACTGCACGCAGACACCTGAGCAAGTTGCTACAACTGGGATCCCACAACAGAGTCTCACAGCTGTTCCTCAGTTAGCATTCATGTCTCTTTGATTCACCAGTCTAACACAATAAATTCCATTCATTCTAGGCTGGGAGACTAACGTGAATACGCTCAACACCAAGGAGAAAACGAGGGTCTGTCCTGAGCAAAGTTGGTGAGTGAGCGCTGTTTACCTTCCCTGAGCCCCCTGACCTTCTGTGCACAATTCTATGTCCTATACCTTTGCCTTTGGAATCTAACATTCTTCCTTGTCTTTTTTTTTTTTTTTCCTTTAGAGGCAGGGTCTCTTGTTCTGTCACCAAGGCTGGAATGCAGTGGCACAATCATGGCTTACTGCAGCCTCAAACTCCTGGACTCAAGCGATCCTCTTGCCTCAGCCTCCCAAGTTGAGGACTACAGGTATGAGCCACTGCATCTGGCAGCTTTCTTGTCTTAATACTGTTCTAGTCCCTCCAAAACAACAACAACAACACGTCAATCAAAGAAACATACAATACTGCCTCCCTACCTCCTGTAATAAAACAAGTGCTGACATCCACCCTCCCACAAAAGAGGAGAAAGGGACCCTTTCACCCGACATGAGGGTTTCTTTCACTTCTTTTTTCTTTTTTTTGGTGGGGTGATAGGGTCTCACTCTGTCGCCCAGACTGGAGTGCAGTGGTACAATCACAGCTCACTATAGCCTCAACCTTCTGGGTCAAGCGATCCTCCCTGAGCCTCAGCCTCCTGAGTAGCTAGGGCTGCAGGAGCACACCACCATTCATTAGCGGCCCCACCTGGCTAATTTTTTAAAATTTTTTTTATAGAGATGTGGTCTCACTGTGTTGCTCAGGCTGATCTCAAACTCCTGGGTTCAAGCAATCCACCCGTCTCGGCCTTCCAAAGCTCTGGGATTATAGGCGTGAGTCACCGCGCCTGGCCTATTTCACATAGTTCTTGCCCTTAGCCCTATGCTGCCCTCTCTACCTTGGGGCCGAATTTTTCCATCTGCCCCAAGTGCTATATTCTTGTAACCATCCTGACTATTTATTGTATGTCGTGGATGCCAGCGAGACCCTCCTCTACACACACACTCAAGAAGGATAAGGCAAGAGGACAAAACAAAAAGAGGGACAATTTACTGCCCTTTACATAACACTTTGTCATAACAATACCCTTCCAAAGCCCTCACTGAACGGTGAGAACAGTCCAATGAAGCAGGTTTTGTTATGCCTGTTTTTACAGATAAGGACATGAGGCTCAAAGACTTTATAGATCATTCACCTAGTAAGTAGAAGAGCCAGAATGGGAATCCATGTTCATCTGACTCCAAAGGCAATGGAATGGCCAGGCCCCTCCCCAGGAAATTATCTAATAAGACTCTTCGAGGGTATTTGCCTTTTTTTTTTTTTTTTTTTTTTTTGAGACTGAGTCTTGCTCTGTTGCCCAGGCCAGAGTGCAGTGGTGCGATCTCGGCTCACTGCAAGCTCCGCCTCCCTGGTTCACGCCATTCTCCTGCCTCAGCCTCCCGAGTAGCTGGGACTACAGGCGCCCACCACCACGCCCGGCTAATTTTTTGTATTTTTAGTAGAGACGGGGTTTCACCGTGTTAGCCAGGATGGTCTCGATCTCCTGACCTCGTAATCTGCCTGCCTTGGCCTGCCAAAGGGCTGGGATTACAGGCGTGAGCCACCGCGCCCGGCCAGGATATTTGCCTTTTAACAGGAGTGTCTTGAAGCCAGGGTCTCATAAAGCAGGAAACAGAGCTCTCAGGGGTCGTACCCAATACCTGCTGATGCAATCATACGGACCCAGTGGGTTTGAAGCAGGGTGGCCTCTTACTGCACCAATTAAATAGTCATCAGTTCTACTGACCATAACACCAACCATAAATGTAAACAAAGAAGTACTGATCCCATGGGTCTGGATACTAAAAATCATGAGGTCCCCAAACTTAGAGAAGTTCTGGAAGAGAACATGTCAAAGTTCTGGCTTTGCTCCAGATGCTATAGGAAACTGTACGTAGCAAGAGTTCTCCATTATTGCCCAGTCAATGGAAACAGCAACCATGCAGCACCTTCTAAAATCCCTTGCCATCTGAGACCTGTGGCGGAGACCCTGGTTTTCATTCATTATGCATGAACCCAAAGTACAGACTTGCAGACCTTCCTAGAAATGAGTAGTAAGTTCAGACCATCAGAATATTCAGAAATCTGATGTATTTCAGAGACTTTAGCAGTAAAAAGGGATCAGAGCACTCGAATAACTGTCTGGTGAAATCTGAGAGCTTTGTTCATAACGACATTATGATTCTGTTAATGAGATTTGGAGAGGTATTAACCATCTTGGTAGACTAATAATGGTTGGCTACTATGGAGTTTAGACTGGGAAATAGAAAACTGGACTGTTATCAGAAAAGTTTGAGATACTTTCTTATACTTTCTGTACAAGATGAAAGCCTGCAAAAGATGAGGCTCAAAAGATATGGAGACAACCTAAATGTCCATCAATGGATGAATGGATAAAGAAAATGTAGCACATATATACAATGGAATATTATTCAGCCTTAAAGGGCCGAGGGCAGGATCCTGTCATTTGCAACATGGATGAACCTGGAAGACATTATGCTAAGTGAAATAAACCTGATTCAGAAAGACAAATACTGCATGATTTGACTTATGGGAAAAATCTAAAATAGTCTAACTCACAGAAGCAGAGAGTAGAACAGGGGTTGCCAGGGGATAATAGGCAGGGAAAATGGGAAGATATTGGTCAAAAGGTAAAAAGTTTTAGTTATGCAAGATGAATAATTTCTGGAGGTCTGTTGTACAGCACGGTAACTATAGTTAATAATACTGTATTGTATACTTGAAACTTGCTAAGAGGTAAGATCTTAAATACCCCCATCACAAAATAAGAGAAAATGGCTACTATGTGAGGTGATAGAGATGTTAATAGCTTGACTGTGTGATCATTTAATCATGTATACATATATCAAAACATCAGTTGTACACCTTAACTATATACAATTTGTATTTGTCAACTATACTCCAGTAGAGTTAAGGGAAATGGAAAAAGATGAGGTTCCATAAATCATCTGAGCATATCAGGCAGTGAAACATGCAGGTGTTGAGAATAAAAACATTATCTGCTGGGTGAGGTGGCTCACATCTTTAATCCTAGCACTTTGGGAGGCCAAGGCAGGCAGATCACCTGAGGTCAGGAGTTTGAGACCATCCTGGGCAACATGGTGAAACCCTGTCTCTACTAAAAGTACAAAAATTAGCTGGGCGTGGTGGCAGGCACCTATAATCCCAGCTACTTGGGAGGCTGAGGCAGGAGAATCGCTTGAACCTGGGAGGTGGATGTTGCAGTGAGTCAAGATTACACCACTACACTCCAGCCTGGGCAACACAGTGAGAGACAGAAAAATAATATTAATAAAATAAAATTAATAACAATAAAATAAAACCATAATTACCTAGTGTGTGGCCTTTGCTGGAGAAAGGCTAGGCACACTGCCCAAGAGCAGGCCTTAATGCCATGACCTGAACCAGCGGGGCTGGACTCAAGGGTTCAAGGGTGCAGAGTGAGAGGAGAAACGGCAAAGGGAAGCTGAGGACAGCTGCTCTGGTGAACTCAAGGAAGCCACCTGAGATGGGGAGGGAAGGAAAAGGGGATTAGTAGAGCTTCAGGGAAATGCAGAGAAGTCTGATTTCACCCGGTGGTAGAAATAAAGGAAAAGGGAAAACAGAAGCCACATTGTAGTTGTCAGTGCTGCAAGAAGGACTCTAGGAGAGATCACTTCTAATGAGAAGAGGAATCGGGGCCAGCAAGCCTGGCTCCAGGAGGAAAGTTCTGTGAGGTCCATGAAAGAGGAAGTAGGGGAGGAATCGCTGTTGAAATTCTCATTGTGGGCCGGGCGCAGTGGCTCAAGCCTGTAATCCCAGCACTTTGGGAGGCCCAGACGGGCGGATCACGAGGTCAGGAGATCGAGACCATCCTGGCTAACACGGTGAAACCCCATCTCTACTAAAAAAAAAAAATACAAAAAACTAGCCGGACGAGGTGGCAGGCACCTGTAGTCCCAGCTACTCGGGAGGCTGAGGCAGGAGAATGGCGTAAACCCGGGAGGAGCTTGCAGTGAGCTGAGATCCGGCCACTGCACTCCAGCCTGGGCAACAGAGCGAGACTCCGTCTCAAAAAAAAAAAGAAATTCTCACTGTGAATGAATGGATCCCAAGCCCTGGAGGAATGGGCAGAAAAAAGAAAGCAAAGAAAAAGAAATGTTAAAAGAAGCCTTCAAAGCCTAATTAAATTCATATAAAGAGGATAAAGAGTAATTCAGAGAAGCAATGTAAAAAAAGAAACACTAAAAAGAAGGTAAGAGGTACGACCTAACTGGGCATACGTTTGTGTAAGAAATCTAGGTATTACCTGTTTGAAGCAGTTTATTCACCAGGAACTAGGAAAGGAACTGGCTCTGTGGATTTCCTTACCAGATAATTTTCAAAGTGAAATATTTTGCTTACAGTGTATTATAGGGACCTTCCAAAGATTTATAGGATCTGGATCTGAGGATACATAACAATGCTTATGACCTAAAGAAGCAAAACGATTCACTTCATGGAAATGCATATTCCCCAAAAGAAATCCTTATAGCCCCTTAAAGAAATTTTCAAGAGAAAAGCCATGTATAAACATATGATCCGCTTCCTAAACGCCACAAGAAAG